TAGGCGAACAAAATTAGTTACCTCTATATTGGTACACACAATTCTTGACCGCCGAATAAAGAGCTTTGATACGAGCAAATTATATAGGTTGTTACGAAGGTGTAGGTCAGGGTGGTCCAACCCCAGGCCCGCGGGCCACATGTGGCCCGTCGCCCCATTATCTGTAGCCCGCGTCACATTCGGAGAGGAATCAAAAAATCGCATTTCGTGTTGTTTCGTAATAAAATTAATCAGAAAGCTTTTTTGACATATTGTTACATCACTAATGTCACTAAATTGACTAGTGTTATGGCTAGCTGAGGCAACTAGCGAAGTTGAATGATGTGATTTGCAGTCTAAATTATTTATCTGGCTTTTTATCGTTTTGGTCGGGAATATATGCTTACAATATAGGAATCATAGAAAACTAAAACTAGAATGCAGATTCTTTTAGCCTGGGATAACTATGTCTGATAACTATGTGTTTGCACAATAAAAGTGTTTGTTTTGTATTGTACTGTTTACCTGTTTTTGGCACAATTGTGGCCCGCTAACAATGCAAAAATAATTTTGTGGCCCGCGGAGCCGACAACCTTGGACCACCCTGGTGTAGGTAGATAGCGGGAGAAAAACGGCTTGAAACTATCAATAATGCCCTAGAAACACCTTTGCTCCGGCCACGTTTTTATAGGTTTCTTATTTGCATTCAAGGTCGTTATGCTGGAGAGAAAATTTCTATTTCTGTTTGCGCGCTGTTTTATTGTAAATTGCTCGCTTTGTGGTATTTTTTGAATAAACCTCTGTACCGGTTACCGGTAAAAGGTAAAGTAAATACTATTTTGCTTTGGTTTTCATGTCCATATACTTGAGCATCGCTCTCCTGTTTTGTAAAGGATTAAATTCATGTAAATTCAATGGCAACTTTATTACTTGGTAAGTAATTACTTTCTACCATTCAATAATTTGAATCCAATAAAGTATTTTTGATCAGGAATAACTCTATTCACTATTTTCCGGGTTTTGAACTTGTTTTATCTGAAACCTTTCAATTATTTATTATCTTTATCAAGAATTTATAAGGATCAATCACAGTGTTGCGCTGAGTCGGTATTTTTTATAACTGATTTTAAATTGTGTGTAGCGAATTTCGGATATGAAAACTAACTCAAATCCCAAAATCATAATGCGTCCAATTTTTGTTTTAATTTTGGGGAGCACACTGTAATATGCTAATAGCAAAATTTGAATAGAAAACATTCGGGACATTTTGCAGGCCAGAATCAATAACGGGCGCTCCAGAAGTATGTGTACCATAGGGACAACTAATTTTGTTCGCCTCCTTTACATCAAGTTGTGTAATAGGACTGAAGCCTATGAGCAAGGAGTATACTTACTTGGCAAACACAAACAGTCTCCGAACTTGTAATAGAACTAAAATGAAGAAAATCGGAATAAAATTATGGCCTAACCATAACCTGATACATAACTACGGTAGTCACCGTGAAATTTTTACCTTGCCTTTTCTCGTAAGAAGGCAGTTCTAAACGCCTATGTTATATATAATAAGAATATTCAGATAAATTCAATGCCCTTGAGAACTGTTATCTCTAATCCAATTTTTTAAAATGTCTCGTTCCAGTTCCGAAAAGCATGAAATTCGATATATTCAAATTTGTCCCGTGAGACCAAGAATATTTTTTTGCTTATGTGATGAATTTAAAAGTACCATTCAAACGGAATTGCTCCCTTCGGGAATGGAAAGTTTCAATTCAAATTTGGGAAACAACCAAATGGAGCATGATTTGACTTTGTTTAGCAATCTGTTAAAGTCAGCGAAGTTAAAAGAATATACAGCACTACGTAGCAATTCAGTCAAGTTATATCTGTTTTGTTGCCGTCTTGATATGAATAATATTAATATGGTATTAAAAAAATCAAACTCCCTACGGGACTTGGGCATGTTTGACAGTGTTTCCATGAATAAAAATTGATACAGCGAAATTTTGGATGAAATATCAGATCTCATAGAATTCATAGAAAATTTAGGAATCAATAGAAGTAATAGCCTTCTAGCAAAAAATCCAATCTTTAACTACTGAAAATTTCAAAGCAATTGGTCCGGAATTAAAGAGAAAAGCGGTATTTTCATAACGATAGGAAGAACAAGTTCAACATAAAGAACAAAAACAACAACATGATTATAAATAATCGATCCATAGGTTCAGCTCAGGATGTTCATCAGATTTTTATTTTAGGAGAGGTGTTTCCAAATTTAGGGGGTGGCAAATATTTTGTCATTAGTGTCTATTTGTAACTTATATAAAATGTGTTAAACTGATCATCTTCACTGGCGTATCAAGTTTCTGAAAACTTTAATACATTTTTATTTACGTTAGGAATTATAGTATTGTGTCACACCGGAAAATTAAGGGGGTGGTGGTGTTTGAAATTTTAAGTAAGGAGAGGGGGGTATTTAAGGGTGTAGAGAAATACAGGTGTTCAATAATATTAAGACGTTATATCGGCGACGCCATAATTGCTGAACCCAGCATCAGATTACGTCAAACAAGTGTCGCAAATATCATTGCCTTGCCTTCATTCTTAGACAAGGCAGAGCAAATGAATTAAGTCAAGTCCTAGATAATTTTATAATGCGTAGAACTTGCGATTAAACGTTTTATTTGGTAATATATTAGTCATTAATTTATGTTTGGCACTTAATCAAAAGTTTAATATAGAACAACCATATATAGATTTCGCTGTCAACATTTGCAGACAATGAATTTAGCAATCGGTCAATGAGACAGGGTCGAAACTTGAAAAAGCTGTTTTGCGAAAATGCCAAACCGTATATTCTTTTGGATTTCAAATTCCTATAACTGTTTTTATCGAATACTTCAGTGAAAAAAGAGAAGAGAGAACTAAACTTCTGTGCAAAGCGTTACTGAAACTTTTAAGTACAATCACATCCAGACAGAAATTTAAGTGTTACATAAATGTTCTTCATTTTCGTAGAAATAATTAAGAAATCTACGAGTTCTTTTTTCAGTACTCCCGAAGTATGTGAACCAAGATGGCGGACACCGGAACGTAATATGTGTACCAGGTTAGGTTTAGGACATAATTTTATTTCAGTTTTCTTTATTTTAGTTCTATTACAAGTCCAAGGACTAGCCAAGTGACTCCCGCAGTATTTGTACCTGAAATTGTGGCCTAACCCTAACCTGGTACACATAATACGTTCCGGTGTCCGCCATCTTGGTTCACATACTTCGGGAGTACCCTTTTTTGGGCCACCGTGTAAAAGAAATAATGTCATATTATGTAACTTTGAGTTTTTTAAAGACGACGTGTATGTATGTGTAAGCGCGTATAGGCTACTGCAATTACGTGTTATTATGGACATACGTGCTTATGACGAAATACAACATGAGCTGACTGGCGGTGTAAGCATTGCCTTAGGCGCGTAGTTAATTGATCCGCTAAACTTAGAATGAACGCTGGTCGGTTTTCAGCGTGACATTGAAATTCTGAGCAAAATAGCGTTAGGAAGGAAATAGTATGAAGACTTAGAAAGAAAATTGTATTTTAGGGCCGTAAAGGAGGCTACACGAGCAATATAGGGTTAATAGGATGGTGGTAGACTTTATATTAGTTTTCCTTTCCGATATTTGTTAATTCCAGGATTTTATTTAGGTGCGAAAATAGGCAACAACTAATAAAGAGAGTACAGGGTGTTCATATGTTCTTGTTACAATTTCAATGTTGCTATGAAGTGAGTTCTCAAGCAAATTTGTTCAATTTTAATCGATGTTTATTTAAATCTTTTACTCCATTCAATACATCTTAGCATTGCCTCTAAATCGGATTCAGAATTAAGTTTGCATCGAGCAAATCTTAGTTTTTGCATAACAGGATACAAACACAGTCAGGATTCAGTATGTACTTACTTGTAGAAGAGTTGAAAGCACCAAAGTATGCGCTTATAGATCTTTTTAGATTTATTTTAATCGATTTAAACAAAGATTATGAGACTGAATAGCATTAACATGCTACTGTATTTATCTTAATTTAAACAGTAGTGAGTGTACCGGGTTAGGCCATAATTTTATTCCGATTTTCCCTATTTTAGTTCTTTTAAGAGTTCGGAGACTTTCTGTCTTAGCCAAGTGAATATACCCCCTACCCATAGACTTCAGTCCCTTTACACAACTTGATGTAAAGTATGCGAACAAAATTAGTTACCTTCATATTGGTACACACACTTCTGGAGCGCCTTTTTTGATTCATTTTAATCGATTTAAACAATGCTTATAATTAAACTGTATTTTATCTTATTTTCAACAGTATACGCCACGTAGTGAAACTAATTAATTAGACTTTAAAAGGGAAATTAAATATGACCAATCGCTGAAAGTCCAAAAATACGAGAGTATTAATCATCAAAATCTTATTATAGTTTGTTTCACTTACTTTTACTTTATTTTGTTCGGCTTATATATAAATAAATGTCATCAGTACTTAAGGTGAAAGTATTCTTGAGAGAATTTATCGGTTTCGTTGTTACTAAAAGATTTGTATCGATTTGTCTGAAAAATTTTGCTAATGACTTAACGGAAGCCTGTACTTGTATAGGCACATAATTGAAGTATGTAAATGTAAAATTTGATATTGAACTCTTGGTATTTTCTCATTTAAGCGTCCCTGTGATTTAATTTGGTTACAGCTTCGAAAGTGTTGATATTATAAAAAAAAAGAGTGAAGTTAGCTCATGGCATGTTACTTTGCGGAATCGTAGTATAATAAGGAGTAGTCGATAGTAGACTTATAGGCAGTGACATTTGAGACGCTGTTGACGTAGTAGATGAGACTAGATTAAGTTAAATACGGCTTCGAAAGTGTTAGTAAAACAAAAAAAAGTAAGCTCATGGGATGTTACGTTGCAGTATCACAGTCTAATAAAACGTTGTTGATAATAGACTTGTAGGCAGTGACGCAGGCATGCAGTATATGTTACTCGCATATTGATCACTCTAAGAATATCTCAAATATATATGACAAATTATTTTTCCAGTTATTAACTTTAAATTTTAGTTTACGCAACTTTTATGAACATGAAGACTTTTCTATTGATTGCCTCCTGTGTTATGCTGTTTGGTAAAGGTAAGTAGTTTAGTATCGAAAATGATTTTACCGTTGCGTAATTATTTAGTTTTAGGACTCGTGGTACCCTTTAGAAGGCTTTTAGCACTCATGGCCCCCTGTTCGTCATTACAGTAGTATCTATGGTGTTATTATGTTGTTCGATTCAGAATACCATTAGGTTCAAACAGTTCATGCTCAACAAAATGGAAACACCCTGCGAAACATTTCAATCGATTAAACTGGGAAGAACGGGGAGTTTTATTCTAAAGTGAAAAGTGAAATAAGTTTTGCGCTCAGCATTGTGGCCCCCTCTAACTGCTCTGTGACTCCCTTAGGGGCCACGGGACTCTGGTTGGGAACCGCTGGTCCATATAGTCTGATCATGTTTTAGCATGTAAATGGATTGCAAATTTGATCAGAGATGAGTCACTAGTACTTCTGATTAAGCGTTAGGAATATGCTCGCCACCGCACCTCTAACTACTCTGCGTGGGTTCGCAGGTTCGAATCCCATGCAGGGATGGTTATGTGCGAGAGGATTGCTGGACTCCTCGCCGTCGTTGGGTGGTTCACGTAACCGCTGGTCGGTTACGGCTTCCTCCACCACCAAGTCCATGCTTCCGAAAACAAACAATATAACTAATCCCATACCCGACTTGGAATGGTAACCGGACGAGAGGCCGTGGTTCGCCATATGAATAAGCCGTCTTATCGGCTTTCCTCTCCCCCGGGATAAATATGTAAATCCTATCCTATCCTTCGTGACTTTGTTTCGAGCAAGTTTCATGCAAAAAAAAGTTGACGGAATATTAAAAGCGATAATTTGAATTGTCATTTGTAGTTCAAATTACTGGGCGAGATTCTCATCGTAAACAAGGTTGACATGAAACCTTGCACAGAGATAAATCTTCTTTACTTCTGAATGAGTTCTCATGACCTCAATTTGTCTAAAGCAATTTTCTCTCAAAAAATTATCAAGAAGTTTAGGAAATTATATGCCATGTGAAGAATAAAATTAACGAGCCACAATCCAAGCACAACCTTGAGTGCCCGCCACATTGCACAGAGACAAATTATTACAATAAGTGTTGCATAATTCCCCCATACCTTACAAGTACCTAATATGTTTGCTTTTATGTTAATAATTTAAGGAAATTTTTTTATATATCTTTTCAATAGCATAATTTATACGCCCACGTTCTATTTATCTGTCATATCCTCTGCAGCATTCAATTTTTTTATGAGTCATTAAGGAAAATATGATGTAATGCTTACGTCACTGATGACTCGCTCGTTTAACGACTATCGAAATTGTAGAACCCATTATTTTGCTACAATTACGCTTTTATTTCGGTATTACATTTTTAAAGTGAAAATTAGAGCCCCATTTTCTGATCCGAGATAATAAATGTTTCATAACAAATGTTTATAATTGACATTATTACCTGTGTTTCACGTAACAGCCGGTCGATCCACCATCCAGCCCATGCTTCCGAAAACAAATAACTGACTAACTGATCCCATACCCGACATGGACTAGTAACCAGACGAGATGCCGTGGTTCGCCATATGATTAAGCCGTCTAATTGGCTTTCTTCTCTCCCGGGATGAATATGTAAATTCTATCCTATGAAATTGAAGTCATAAGATCAAATGGGCTCTTCCGCGTTTTACCCGGTCCCCTATTTTTTTCTGTATTTTTTGGAAATGCCTGCATTAACCACCCTAAATTCGTACTGGCATTGAAATATTTCCGCACACTGACCAGTCAGATGAATTGCTTATATCCACAATGTTACTACATGATATAACACAGAAATGGGCAAGGTATTTCGATCAGGGGCCAAAAATTGTGCCCACCCAGACTGGCGGGCTAGGTAACATTTTATTAATTTGAAGTGTTACAAAAGCATAAGTGGAAAACAATAACAAGTGGAAAACAATAATCCTCGTGCCAAAACTAAATTTAATTGCAATCTCAACAAATTTATTTTTAACATCAATATTTGGTTTTAATTCGGTTGTGGCAGCATCAGAAAGACCAGATTGATTAGCCCAAAGGTCGGATTTGGCCCGCGGGACGTAGTTTGCTCATGTCCGATGTAACCTCTCCCATCGAACATACCATAGCCCGAACTGAATGCATAAATATATAGATTCAAAGTATCATGTACTGTTGACCTAACTTTAGGAGAATTTAAAATCTCCCATTACCTCGTTCAGCGAGCGTTTTTAAAACAGAATAATGCCCCTAATAGTTCCATTATATTTGCACCCAACGTAAATTTGCACTCGCAGATTCCAACACTCACATGCCTATTGCGGTAGCGTGTGTACCAGGTTGGGGTTAGGCCATAATTTTTTAATTCTAATACGAGTTCTGTCACTGTCTGTGTTAGCCAAGTGAATATAACCCCTGCCCACAGGCCTCAGTCCGTTCACACAACTTTATATAAAGTAGGCGAACAAAATTAGTTACCTCCATATTGGCACACAAATTACACCCATGAACGCCCAATAATACGACTCTGTTTTACCACAGGTTCTGCTATCATGTGCTACAACTGCACTTCCGTGTCATTATTTCCAGTCGAAGGTTGTGGAGACGGGAAGAATATGATAGATGAATTTCTTGTGGAATGTCCTGAAGAGAAACCTTACTGCTCTGTATTACTTATGGATGGAGTATGTAAGTCAGCGGTTGTTAGTATTTTCTCCGGTGCTCCCAAAGTATGTGTACCAAGATGGTGCACAACTTGAACATAGTATGTGTACCATGTTGGGGTTCAGGTTGTGCGTCATATTAGTACATTTACTTCCGGAGCACCTTTTCTCCTTTATGCACCTCTTTGAAACCACCATCCGATACCTGCACTTAGGAACAGGCTGGTGAGACCTGTCCCAACCCCTCACCCATTTTTCACTCACTCCAGATGGAAATGACTGGGTGAAACTGTGGGTCACGCCTTTAATTAACATAGGCTATCGAGTATTTGCAGGCGCAAAAATTTTGGTTATTGATCTTGTGACATGCGTTGTTTGCACAAGCTGTTAAGGCATTGTAAAGCCATAAACATAGATAATAAATTAGACTCAGGTAAAAGCTTCGCAATGCAAAGGGATTGAAATTACTCGCCCGTACCAAATTAAATTGAAAACTCGTTTCGCGTGCCGCACATCATTCAAAATTGGCACTTCTTCACGGGCCGCACAGTTTTTCCCTCAGGGCCGCATTTTGCCCGCAGCTTGCCACCCCTACCGGGTAGAATGCAACTGTTTAACGATAGTTCCCACGATACAGAATCTTCTTTTCATAACCATCCTATAGCTTCATCAAATATATATTCTCTTTACAGTTCCAGGCTATAATGATCCTATGCGGACGTACCAGCGAGGCTGTTCTGATTCGCTGATGAATAGCTGCTTCCCTTCCCCTGCTGGGTTTGACGGAACAAGCTGCTTCACAACTTGCAAAACAGGTAAAACACTGGAACATTGTTCCATGAAAGCGTACGTTTATTTTTAAAGGATTTCACTAGGAATTTTTTCGGGCGCTTCCGTAGTATGTGAACCAAAATGGCGGACACCTGAACATAGTATGTACCAGCTTAGGGTTAGGCCATAATTTTATTCCAATTTTCCTTATTTTAGTTCTTTTACAAGTTCGTGGAATAGCCTAGTGACTCCCGTAGTGTTTGTACCTGAAATTATGTTTGTTTATTGCAATGTCACAATTTATGATGATATTTCAATTTTTTGTCTACAGACGGTTGCAACACGGAACAAACTACAAAACCGGTTGCCCGAGTAGCGACTCTTGCACCGCCGGTTTTCTCAGAATCTGCGACGGTTCCAAATCCAGAATCCCCCAAATCTGAAGCAATGGTAACACCAGAGACCACACCCGAGCCAACAAGAAAACCAGAACCTTCTTCAACACCGGAGCCGGAGACAACTCCGGAACCCTCAAAACAACCAAAACCGGAACCGACAACTACTCCAGAAACAGCCGATACTACGACAAAAAGCGACGCACAAAAAGTTGGACTCCAAATTCACACAATCATTAATTTATTCGTCTGCATAGTCTGCACAATTTTGTTTACCGGGTTTAGAAGCAATTAATTTTTACGTTTTCGACTCCGGATAATCTGGTAACGGCAGAAGTCATAATGACAGACAATTATTCTACTATGCCTGCTCAGTTTTCAATAAATCTATATAAATCAAAGTTTAAGAATCGAATTTTTTTTATGAAATAGAATAATTTAGCAAATACAGCAATATAAAAGTACTACCGTTACTTCGAGTACAAACTCGCAAAAATCAATTAGCAAGAATTCCCAAAATGGCGCCTGGCGCTCAACACTCGCTCGCGCGTATTTTAAAATTTAGCAAGATTTATAGGCCTCAACAGCCCAGTTAAATTTGAAAACAAAACCAGAAGTAATGGCATGTGTATGTGGCACTTTTGTCTTTAACTATTGAAACTTTTTAGACCATTAGTCGCAATAGTTAAAGCTGTTTTAACCTGATAACTTCAAAACAAGAATATGAAAAGCAACCAAAAGCCCATTTACTTATTTTCGTTTTGTTTTGTCTTGATTCTTGCTGATAGAATTTGTGGAATAGAGGCAAGTTTAATAATAGCAGCTGTATTTCCATGTGGAAATGAAATTTCACTAATGTTATCAACGTTCATAATTAGAGTAAAACACAAGAAAACGGTTTGTGGTTTTTATATTGAAAATATGAATATGGCTCTCTCATTTTACACTAAATTATTGAAATACGCTGTATCCAACCTCAATATCTTATTTATGGGCCTATTTCAGTACAATATATAGGATGTCCATAAAGTCTTAGAATTTTTCAAAATTGCAAAGGGGATTTATCGATACCATATATTGTGTTGGCCCTCACTGATGTATTAATTGAAATAAAAACAATTGAACAATTACTGATTAAAAACAACAAATCTGTGTAAGATATATTAAGAACTGATTTCATAACAAAACTAAAGTTGTAAAGGGAATTTATGGACACCCTCATAATACCGACAATCATTGTTTCAATACTAGTGTTCTATACTATGCTGCTTTTGTATGTAACCTATTTTATTGTCTTGAATAAACTCATGCCATACATATAGTTCTTCTCATTTCCATCTTGTGGTTTGTTGGCATCGGCCGTTAAAGACCTCAAGTTTGTTACTAACATTTCTCGTTGTTCTGAAAGCAATCGGATCACGCGGGGTAAAAAATGGGTACTCCTGAAGTATGCGCACCAAGATGTCGCACAACCTGAACCCTAACCTTGTACACAACCTGAGTTCAGGTTATGAGTTATGCTTGAGAAGATTGCTGGACTCATCGGTATGAGTATTTAACGAAAGTTTTACGTACTTTTGCGCTGGGTTGGATTAGGCAGGCAGGCAGGCAGGCAGGTAGGTAGGTAGGTATGTAGGTAGGATTATATTTTTCCCAACATCTGTCACAGATAGTTTTTTTTACCAATGTTGTTGTTAGATCAAAAGACCCAAGATTTCGAAATGGTTTTTTATTGATAAGGCAACTCTACACTCAAAACAGCAATGAATACTAAAACCAGCAAACATAACGAAAAAGCAGTCTACTTCCCGCCCAGAGTTCAGAAGAGAGCAATAGATATATTTTCTCCCGCACGTGCAATGGGTGGTCGGAGTCGTATAAAGCAAATCCGGATGTTACCATAATACTCATACCCGACAAAACAGCATTGAATAAGGGTGTGATCATATAAACATAAAAAATATATACACACCATAAACACAGGCTCTAAGGTCCGTGACATATTCAAGTGGTACTTCCGTAGTATGTGAACCAAGATGGCGGACACCGGAACGTAGTATGTGTACCAGGTTATGGTTAGGCCATAGTTTCAGGTACAAATACTACGGAAATCTCTTGGCTAGTCCCCGAACTCGTAATAGAACTAAAATAAGGAAAATCGGAATAAAATTATGGCCTAACCCCAACCTGGTACTCATACTACGTTCCGGTGTCCGCCATATTGGTTCACATACTACGGGAGCACCTACGAGAGTCCATGGGGTGAGGTACTGTATTGATAACTAGACGAGCGGTCGTGGTTTACATTACAACATAGTTGATTATTCATATCGAATTCCCATTATTTCTCTTCAACCCGCTTCCGCTATATGTCGCTAACTACCAATCAATTTTACAAATTTACACCACAACGCCATCTCGCGGAAGAATAATATTGAAATGAAAACAGAGAAGTATTTTCTCTATCATTATTTTATAAAAAATATATAGCACTGTACACGTAATTCTGAGTTTTTTATTTCATTTTTTTTATATTACATCCATATTTACTTTGAAACGTAAACTTTTATGTCTAATTCAGCGAAACGCGTAACCGAAAATGAAAATTTATATTGAATAAAATAAAATTAAATATTTTTCTCGCTTTTAATTTTGTGAAAAAAGCCCGACAGGTCGTTGATGGTTTCATACGAGGCAATTAAGGCAGACAACACATGCCACAAATCTCCCTAGAGACGCCACACAAATAAGACGCTTGTTAGTCAAGGTACCTTGGGATCTCGTAAGAGTATATCAAGATAGTTTGATTGATAGGACACGGCCGGTGTTTTATAGTTAAATTTTTGAGTTTAAGTATTTTCAATTTGCAGGTAATATTGCCAACCGCGAAAGTGAAGCACGTAAAGTATCGTTACAGTATGTATACCATAATAACTGAGTCTAATTTAGTACATAACCAGAAGTACTTTAGTTGTAGTGGCTCAACAATTTTTAAATATGTCATTTCTGATCACCATCTGACTACGTCATTCAAAAATTACGTCATTACGAGGTCACATCATTGGGCCCGTCAAAATATACCAAACATAGATGGGGACAGTGACTATACCAAGTCCAAACATTACATGTTTTATATATCAGCTTCAGATTCAGATATTTCATTTCCATCATGAATAAAATATTGTTTCGACACAATTAATAAAAAAGGGTAACAATAATATCAATTAAAATAAAGAGACGTACAATATATTCGCAATTGAAAAAACAACAAAAACAACAATCGCGAAAAACTATTAGAGTCGCCGTGTCAGCGACACCGTGTTTACTGAGTTCAGCAGCAGATGACGTCAAACAAACGTCAAATAAAATGAACTAATTATTTTTCAACAAAATTGAAAATACAATTTGGCAAATACAAATCAAATCGAGGGAGTCAGGAGATTGGTGTTTTGAGAAGTCAGTCACACGAGCTGCTAATGTACGTGTAGTATTTCAATAACAGCTAGCAAACAAATGCCGAAATCGAATTTTTCGTGGTGTGATTATCTGGGGTTAGTAAAGTCACGAATTACGTAAGAGATGTCATTTAATTTAGCTTCAGATGCGGTACTTCTGAAGTATGAGTACCAAGATGGCGGACACCGGGGCGTAGTATGTGTACCAGGTTAGGATTAGGCCATAATTTTAGGTACAAAGACTACGGGAGTCACTTGGCTAGTACCCGAACTCGTAATTTAATTAGATTGGAAGAAAATGGCGTTCAAAGTAGCTCTTGATTGATAGAATTAAGTTTGCTGACGCAAGAGCGATTACATCATGTGTATTTACGAGTTAAACTCGTGAAATGGCAAGGTCTTTTGAAGGTCAGAAAAGTGTCCCAGTGATGGACGAGAAATGGGCGCACGAGGAGTGTGTGTACCAATATGGAGGTAACTAATTTTGTTCGACCACTTTACATCAAGTTATATAAAGGGACAGAAGCCTATGGGCAGGGGATATATTCACTTGGCTAACACAGACAGTCTCCGAACTCGTAATAGAACTAAAATAAGGAAAATCGGAATAAAATTATGGCCTAACCCTAACCTGGTACACATACTACGGGAGTACTTCATCGGCTGCTTGTGTAAAACCTTGTACATAAGTTTCAAAACGATTCTCATCTAAAACTTATTGTTATTTTAACCCTTTTCTTTTGATAAAAATAGTACTTTTCAACTGCGCGGTAGCGCTCTAAGTGCCAGTGGCTCATTATCGAGAATCTTGCTCAAAACGAACTGTGAACCAGGGTCCAAAAATGTTGCCCACTCAGCCTGACAGGACATGAAAGTGAGCCCAACACACAATTTATTGTTATTTTTATAGTTCTTCAAAGTTTGCCGAAGTGGAAAGTTGAGAGAAAATGATTGCATTATCTCAGGACGAAAATAAAAACTGTACTTTCCAACTGCGCGGTAGCGCCTTGCAGGCCCGGTGGCTTTTTATTACTAAAACTTTGCTCAGAACGAACTGTGAAACGCCCTTCACACAATTTATTGTTATTTTCATCTACTTCAAAGATGGAGGCGGAAAGATAAAAATGTATTTTTGCAGTCATCGCGGAATAAAATTAAAACCTCATGACATATACAGTTTATTGTTATTTTTATCCTTTTTCCAAATACTACTGAAGAGGAAAGCTGCGGAAAGTTATCGCCGGTATGAAATTAAAACCTAATACCATCTCGAACATTCTCTTAAGGGGAGCTATGTCATGTTTCATTATTAATCACATTACATCACAACTGTAGTTTTAAAATGAGACACACATCCAAATAATGAAACTATTTCTCTTCTTATAGCGAGTTTGATGAATGATTTAATTTAGCTGTTATATGTTTTAGAATATTATAAAAGAAATAAGCAAAATAGGATTATGCAGTATGTTAGATCTTTAACGTTGCTTTATAACATATCAGACTGTTTGTTAAGAGACTCATGTGGATTACTTCGAAATTTCATAAGAACTACGGTTTCTTATAACAGCATAGACGAGACATCGTTCCCATCATTCAGCGTGTTCTATGTATTTTTGTCCCTCATGATTGACGGAATGAAACCGTACATTGTGTATTACCTATTTCGATTAATATAGACTTGTGGTTTAATTTACAAACTGACGATCAACCTCCACGCTTGTACTTAGGGTATTCAGGCCCGCGCTATATTGTTTGTTCAGGCCTGGCCAACATAAACGACACTCATTTTCTAGATATGGGTATTCGAGGGTTTGACGAAGTGAAAAAATGAGACAATTTTACTAGAATTTGAGAGTAAATGAATTGGATTTTTTTACCCACAAAGGTGTATCTAAGCCATCGCTCAAAAAAAGTAATTACCCAGTTAGGGATTGAACATGATTGTGCTGAAAATTCAACGTTTCAAATCATTTCTAAACCTAACTGATCAATTACTTATTTATTATTTTAAAACGCAGCAGGGTGTTTTTTTCTAAAAATCTTACATTTTGCATAAATGGCGGGAGCCGTAATAACCGTTACTTGCTTCGATTACTAGAAAATCGATTTAATTTACAGCAATGTTATAAGTCTTCTGACCTCGTCGTTTTAAATACGCATCGTGTCATGTGGTATAAAAGGACATTGTCGTAAGCGATGATTTCGGGAGGTTAGATATACTTATTGGATATATGAGAGGTCGTTGAGACTAAGATTAGGATGGATAGTATGGACATTATCGGTGGTTCCTATTTGCGATTGAAGCCGTTCTACTGTAATTATGTTCATCGGGAATAAAACAAAACTGGTGGTGGATTCGTAAGGTATACAAATTGGATATGTAAGAGGTCGTTGGGACCACGGTAAGGTGGTTAGGGGTGATATTATCAGTGATGAATCAAGTATGAATAAAAGCGTTTGAAAACTTAGAATATTTAGAAATTCATTTCATAAACAATGAGAACGTTGTCAGTTTTCTACGACTATTATTTTTAGCGATCTAAAGAAGTATATAGACAGATACAGGCGAATGGTATTGAAGAAAGATGTAATTAAATCATGATCAGGTTGGATTGATCTAATTGTACAAGCGATGTAGCGTGGTCGGCTCGGTCTCGCCGGATCTTTTGTACAAAGCCACTAATGCAGAAATGTGAAATTGGAGAAAAAACTCCCGTTTTGAAATAACAAATTAGGGTACTCACGTAGTATGTGAACCAAGATGACGGACACCGGAACGTAGTATGTGTACCAGGTTAGAGTGAGGTCATAATTTCAGGTACAGATACTACGGGAGTCACTAGTCCCCGAACTCGTAATAT